CGACAATGCCCATTGATGTGGTTTAAAGTTTATTTTTCCTACAAAGCTAAAAGGATAAGTAAAGAGATAAAAAGGTACTGACTATGGGTATGCTGGTCTGATGGGGTATGCTCATCTGACAGAACACCAGGATAAATCTGCCTCTTCTGAGGCCTTTCTTGTCTTCTCACACTTCGTAGACACTTTTTCTCTTATGACCTTCGACCATAGCTAACTACACGTGCAGAAAAATATAGCTAACAGGAAGAGCATGTAGGACAGCCTTACGTAAACATATCGCCAGAACAATTGACAATTAGGAGGACCATTTATTTAGATGATCCATTCAGAAATAAAAGATCGTCCTCTGTATGTTTAAATTGAATCTGGGGGGGTGATAAAGATTAGGGTGATGGCAAGACTTGAAGCTCATCAGCCAAGCCCACAGTGTCCCTTTATCCCAAGATTTTGACATAAATTCAACCAGGTTACATAGTTTCTATGTCTTGATCTGATCTAGAACAATAAAATGAAGTGTTAAAAAAAACTCACAAATGCATTTCTTCTGTGCTCTGTGGCAGCTTCATATGATTTGGGTTTAATTATTGAGAACTTTAGTTGTTCTTAAATTTGTGAAGCTTCTGTGTTTTTGTAGTTCTTTTTCTGAAGGTTGTAGTCCCACTTTAACTAGCATTATTTATGTGCTTTTCTATAGTGTACAACGCCTATAAGGCTGACAGCTGTTTGGAGTTTGTTTCCTTCTTTTATAGCCTGGCTTGATACAATTTGTTATAGATTACGTAATTATGACTTCACATTGTGATCTTCTTTTGTCTCAGTTGAAGGTGGATCTGATGCCAACAAAAAAAAAAGCGTTGCAAATGTGTTTTTCTCCTTCTTTTCAAAAACAGATTAAAGGTTTCATGAAAACCCTTAAATTGGTTTTAAAAAGTTGGAACAATCCAAATGTTTTTTTATTTTTACTAAAAATATAGAATGTAATATAAATAAACAGTATAAAATTATAATTTAGTGCTTGCTTGCAGACTTCAAATCAGTCAAGAATTTAGTCTTAAGCTAGCCTAGTAAACTAGCCCCACCAAAATCATTTTTGCCTTTAAATTATACATTTAATCACACATTTAGGCTACGTTCATACAGCAGCCTGAAGTGACCCAAATCCGATTATTTTTACCCACATGCGACCTGGATCTGATCTTTTCATGGCTGTCTGAACAACACAGATCCGATTTTTCCAATCCGACCCAGACCGCTTCACTAAGTGGTCCTAAATCTGATACGAATCCGATCTTTTCAAATGCGACCTGTGTGTGAACGGCCAGGTCGCATTCATTCGACCTGAAAACCATTAGTATCCGACATAGGTCACTATTCTGCTTCTTGCTACACAGAAGCGGCAAGAAAAACAACCACCATGGCAGACAATGATGCGGAGAGCAGTATTTTTGCTTTTAACCATCTTAAAAAGATTGAGTTTTTAAGGTGCGGAAAGATCTCTTGATGTTCTCCAGTACTAACATCCATGTTTACTTCCGAAAACATGAAGCACGCTGGCTTGTGACGTTGTGACCTCTACTGCGCATGTGGGACACTTAAGCTGTATGAATGCAGTTCACACAGGACATCACATACAAGTCGCATTTATTTGGAAATGTGAACGGCAACGCAAAAAAAATAGGATTTCACAAAAAATTTGAATTGAGCATCAAGGCCTGCAGTGTGAACGCAGCCTTAGTCTGGTTTATCAGGCTAGCCTTTAGCCTCACATGGTTCAGAAACATTTATCTTGTGAAACACAAGGAGACTTCAGAACCCACTGATAGGGCTCGGGATCCACGTTGCATTGTGGGACGTCGCGGTCATATTGACGGCTACGCAAACGTACACATAGCTCTGATACAACGTTGTTGAAATAAGAGACGTAGAAGTAGAGAGAAAAAAGATGTTAAAATCCCGAAAAAGATCTGGAATTTACCAGGACACATTAAATAGAGAAGCCACGGACCGGTATGTTGACAAAATCTGCATTATTAATAATTTGGATCCATATGAAGTTCCAAACAATGCGTGGAGCACCGCTGAGTGA